AACCACACACAAACCCTCTTGAAATTGTTCAGTAGAGGGTAAACACCACAAGCACCACCACACGACTAGGGCTGTCACACATGGTGACAGCAGTATTAGGCTGATATCCTAGGGCTGCCGCACCTTCCTAATACTTGTAATAGGGATTGCGGCAGTCCTAAAACAAATAAATAACAGATGCCGCAGCTATCAGATTGTGTACCTCAGATTCGCAGCCCAGAGAAGAAGAAAAAAGGAGAGAGAACTTGAAGTTGCAGGATGGAAATCTTGAAGTCGCAGACTTCTTCTCCTTCGTTTATGGCTCTGATACCATGTTTTGACAGCTCTGTTTAAGTAGTTTGAACCAGTAGAGAGTAAGGGAGAAAGAAGAAGGAAGAAAAACAGTCGAATCTGATAGCTAAACCCTATCAGTTGACCATAATGTAGATTAGTCTCTAATTAGTTGTACAAAGACTAAACTTCCCCCACTTAAGTATGGGACAGGTAGTCTCTATTAGAACTGCCACATAAGCACATAACTTAACTAAATAAAATGACTAATTTACCCTTATTCGGTTAGCTCTAACAGAGACCTTCAGGAAGAAGTTTACATGGAACTTCCTCCAGGAGTGAACATCCCTGGGAGTGAAGGTTTGTCGTTTGGAGAAATCCCTTTATGGCCTTAAACAGTCCCCTCGATCTTGGTTTGACAGATTTAAGAAAGTTGTCTTAAAAATTGGCTTCTCACAATCACAAGTTAACCATACCCTATTTATTAGGAGAGCAAATGGAAAAATAACTATGTTGGTAGTATATGTCGATGATATTGTTATCGCAAGGGATGATATCTCTAGGATTGCTGAACTGAAGTCTTTCCTTGCTACTAAATTTGAAATTAAGGATCTTGGAAATCTCCGGTATTTCCTAGGGGTGGAGGTAGCAAGGTCAAAGAGGGGCATTTATATTTCTCAGAGGAAATATGCCCTTGATTTGCTTCATGAGGTAGGAAAATTGGATTGTAAACCAGTTGAAACTCCAATTGATCCCAATCATAAGCTGGGAGTTGATGATGGAGATGTCCTTCTTGACAAAGGTGTGTATCAGAGACTTGTCGGTCGCCTTCTCAACTTGTGTCTAACTAGACCAGATATATCATATTTTGTGAGTGTGGTCAGCCAATACATGCACAAGCCTAGATCATCTCATATGCAAGCAGTGAAAAGAATACTTGCCTATTTGAAGGGATGTCCAAGAAAGGGGATATTGTATTCTAATCATGGGCATTTGAAGGTAGAGGCCTATTCTAATGCTGACTGGGCAGGTTCTATTGATGATAGGCGGTCTACTTCTGGCTATTGTACTTTGGTGGGTGGTAATATTGTATCTTGGAGAAGTAAGAAGCAATCAGTTGTGGCTTGATCTAGTGCAGAGATAGAGTACAGAGCTATGGCACATGGAGTCTCAGAATTGTTGTGGCTGAAGAACTTGTTGACAAAAATGGGAATGCAAATTGATACTCCAATGATATTATATTGTGACAATCAAGCTGCCATAAACATAGCCCACAACCCTATTCAACATGATCGTACGAAGCATCATTAGAGAAAGAGTTACCAGTGGAGAGATTTGTCTACCTTATGTGAGGTCTGAAAACCAGTTGTCTGATTGTCTTACTAAAGGTGTTCCCAAATCAAAGCTCAACAACAATTTGAACAACTGGGCATGATAAATATCTATGCTCAGCTTGAGGGGGAGTGTTAAGAGTGTGAAGGCATTTCTGTCATTTTGTGATGTGTTTGGGTGCCTATTCAAGGGCACCTTTGTAATTTTGCTTGTGAAGAAAAAATGAAAAGTCTCTTGGTGTGAACAGTGCCACACCAAGCATCCTCAATTCTCTTCAACATCTCTAAACTTTACAACTCTTTTAACTATTGTTGTCCCAGCCACTTGACACCCGCATAGCAGCACCAATAGCTTCATTTAGGTAATAGAGACCTTCAGCCTCACAACCACTCCCAATCGTTCGTCTCATCAACCAGTCCTAGAACACACAATGAATGGGAAAGAAAGTCACACGACAATCCATATCTTTGGTAATTTTAGACAAAAACAGCAAATTAGTAGTAAAGGTAGGAACATGCAACAAGAGCCATCAGCAATTTTTACTGTCTTGGCTAGAAGAAGGATAATATGAGTTGAACAAGGAGGATACACTAGTCATATGTCCAAAGGCTCCTGAATCAATCACCTAGGAGCATGGGGAAGATGGGTGGATAACATTGAAGGCAGAAGCTATACCTATCTTTGGAAATGAGGAAGAAGCAAATGAAGACTGATTCAGCTGATCCATAACTCGGTTAAGAAGATCTACCTCCTCAACCGTAAAGTTAGGGAGACTGGAATTAGTAGTAGAAGTCTGTCCAGAATGGAGGGAAGCACCTAGAGTAGTATTCTTCTTACCACAATCAACAACATTTGAACTTGAAACATAGCCAGCACCATTAGGACCTTTATATGTCTTCTTATCCTTCCTTA